GAAGGTTAGACATGGAGTTTGAATAGAGTCAAGGCATGGCGCTAGATACAAGAGGCGTATCTATATAGGCTAGCAATCCTCTAGCCACAGACAAGATAACAATGGGATATAGCGTGGAGTTCAGGATAATATGGAGGAACAGTTTGGACCAGCTAGTTACTCCAGGGACTGGAATAACACAGCTGGAACTAGGATGAAACGAGTAATACTAGTAGTGGAGAAATTAATTTTTTTTTAATTTTGCCCCGAGGGGCGAGTTTATTGGGCAGCGCCACTCATCTTGTGAGTGGACACACCGCCATAGTGACAGTATTGGGCAGCGCCACTCATCTTGTGAGTGGACACACCGCCATAGTGACAGTATTGGGCAGCGCCACTCATCTTGTGAGTGGACACACCGCCATAGTGACAGTATTGGGGAGCGTCACTCATCTTGTGAGTGGACACACCGCCATAGTGACAGTATTGGGCAGCGCCACTCATCTTGTGAGTGGACACACCGCCATAGTGACAGTATTGGGCAGCGTCACTCATCTTGTGAGTGGACACACCGCCATAGTGACAGTATTGGGCAGCGCCACTCATCTTGTGAGTGGACACACCGCCATAGTGACAGTATTGGGCAGCGCCACTCATCTTGTGAGTGGACACACCGCCATAGCAGCATGTACAACACTCCCCAATAGGAAGAAAACCCGCTGGGTTGTTCATCCTGTCTAGTGGAGGAATGTTTGGTGGATAACGCAAAGGGTGAAAATATATATAAAAAATCAAGTAAGCAAGTAAGCAACAGGAGCGCAGTACCTGAGAGGATATGACCAGGAGTGGTAATGGGATGCGAGCGGGGCTAGGGCAGGCGCCCCAGAAGTGGGGCCCAAGGTAACCAGAGTGCCATGAGGGGTCCAGAGGGGTCCAGAGGGGTCCAGAGGGGTCCAGAGTGGAGGTGTTCATAACAAAGCCCCTATCACTTCACATTCTTCTCAACGCTGTTTTGTTTCACTTTAAAATGTTTCATTTTCAAGATAGTTTAACGTTATCTACTATAAAAACTTTTAAAGGTTCGCGATTATTTATAAAATTATATATTATTTTTAATTTATTATAAATCTGAATTATTTATTATTTATATTATTATCATTGTTGTTATTATTGTTACTATATTCGCATATTCTAAAAGTTATATTTAGTTAAGTGTCACACGAAGCAGTCATCTAGCAAATTGATGGATGGTAGGTTATCTTGAGGTTATCTTGAGGTTATCTTGAGATGATTTCGAGGCTTTTTAGTGTCCCCGCGGCCCGGTCCTCGACCAGACCTCCACCCCCAGGAAGCAGCCCGTGACAGCTGACTAACACCCAGGTACCTATTTTACTGCTAGATAACAGGGGCATAGGGTGAAAGAAACTCTCCCCATTGTTTCTCGCCGGCGCCTGGGATCGAACCCAGGACCACAGGATCACAAGTCCAGCGTGCTGTCCGCTCGGCCGACCGGCTCCCTGAATGGTATGGTAGACAATTACTGCAACAGCTCAGACATTTCTTAAAATGTCTTCTTTAATTTGTCTTAGTTATCCCTATGAAGCACCAGCCCCGAGGCTGGGAAATCTAACCACGTCTTCACACAACCATCTTAGCACCGCCAAGTGCCTGTTGCCTCTCGCCAATATAAATATATTTCGCTTCGCGTCTCTTTACTACTTTACGCATTATTTCATTCTGTCTATTTTTCTGGCAGGAAAATTGCTTAAGTCTCACTTCACCCAATTCTAGTGGTAATATTTTGTTGACACTTTTAAAGTGAGGTGTAAGCTGGCGCTTGTGTGAGAGTGGGGGAGCTGGAGGTGTTAGTGTATGTGTTAGTAAGTGTACAGTATGTTAGTGTGTGTTAATGTGTGTCTGTGTTAGTGTGTGTCTGTGTTAGTGTGTGCTTGTGTTAATGTGTGTCTGTGTTAGCGTGTATACAGTATGTTAGTGTGTGTTAATGTGTGTCTGTGTTAGCGTGTGTACAGTATGTTAGTGTGTGCTTGTGTGTTAATGTGTGTCTGTGTTAGCATGTGTATGTGTTAGCTTGTATATATGTTAGTGGATGTGTGAGTGTGTAATAGTCAGTGTGGTCATCAAATTGACCTCTGAGGTCTGGAGCCTCTCGTGGTTAGTGACTAAGATGAACAGTATAAGGTGTCTGTCATAGGAGACTTCCCTCCCTCTCTTTCTGTTTACACAATGATAGGCCTCCCAGGCCGAGTTGCCGATGTTGGGGGTTAGGTACTCAAGGTTGGGAAGGTTCCGGTGAGGTTGTGGTAGGGGTTGGCTGAGGTTAACCAACCCGTCGAGTCCATAGGGGGAAGGAAAGATGGATAGTTTCCCTCCCTTGGCCTCTAGAGCTATAAAGCTGTCAAAGTTCATGGCTGGGTGTGAGACGATGTGTTCCAGCAGCAAGGCGCTGTGGTAACAGGCTAGATCCATCTTCCCTCTGATCCGCCAAGCTGATGAGTGACAAACTGGATAGGCGGGCTCTGAGTAGCTGCCATCCAATGAGGAGATGAAGTAGTCTCTCCTTTTTAAAAGCCCAGTGTCAGTGGTGCCCTGTGCCCCAGTCAAAGAGGCGAGATCATCCGGGTGATTCGTATCTAAGGTAGGCCTGCTGTGTGCTGCCTCGCGATTGATTTCCAGTGCTGACAAGGGGGGGCAGGGTTTTAGAGAGTGTAAGTCAGGGTGTAGAATTGGTTAGTGTGAATTTGGGCTGGAGCAAGCAAGGAAGGAAGGAAGTGTTTTCTTTTGTTAGAGAGAGGGGGGCAAAAATACAAACATGATGTAATCCTTTGGATTACATCATGTAATGTAATCCTTTATTGTACTGTACTGTACTGTACTGTACTGTAACTTTACTGCACTGTAACTTTACTGTACTGTAACTTTACTGTACTGTACTGTACTGTAACTTTACTGTACTGTACTATAACTTTACTGTACTGTACTGTATTGTAACTTTACTGTACTGTACTGTAATTTACTGTACTCTACTGTACTTTACTGATTACTGTAATACTGTAATCAGCTCCAAAGAAGGTTAATGCCGGCTTTCGTCGTTGCAACATGATAAACATTATCAACTCCATTGCCTTTGGGATATTCGAGTTAGGAAAGTAATTGCACTATTAATAAGTTTGTTACTAAGATCTGGGAGTATCGCCGGACACCCCCCCCCCCCTTCCTTAACAAATAATGGAGAAGTGAACCAAAGCCCCTGAACATCTCTTGTAATTATTATTGATTAACCTTTGAATATTTAATTCATGACTGTTCATGCTAAGGATTAATTGGGGTTCAATTAATATCGGGTATCAGTCGAGTTTTCATTCCACGGTAGCCGAAATGTGAACGGCTCCAGTTAGTCATTGATCCAGGTTCAGGACGGACCGAAACGTCGTCGTCCCTTCAACTTCTAGTGTGTGGTCTAGTCATTGACTTCCTCCGTGGTCAATGGCAGGTAATTTTCAAAGCTCACCAGTAATTATCAAGAGATATTAAAGTAATTATTCCAAAGTAATTAGGAGCTAATCAAGGAGAGGTGGCTGCATCAATTATAACAATAATGTCAAGCGGTGTATCATATTAATAGAGTTGTCAAGTCAAGGGTTAATAAGATACAATGAGCGTCAGCCACGTTATATCCGGCTACACGCTGCCCGTGGTTGTTATACAGCCAGTGGTGACAATGGTAGTTATCTCAGCGTTATATACGTGTGTGTGTGTGTGTGTGTGTGTGTGTGTGTGTGTGTGTGTGTGTGTGTGTGTGTGTGTGTGTGTGTGTGTGTGTGTGTGTGTGTGTGTGTGTGTGTTAGTGCGTGTGTGTGTGTGTGTGTGTGTGTGTGTGTGTGTGTGTGTGTGTGTGTGTGTGTGTGTGTGTACTCACCTATATGTACTCACCTATATGTGCTTGCAGGATCGAGCATTGGCTCTTGGATCCCGCCTTTCTAGCTATCGGTTGTTTACAGCATGATTCCTGTCCCATTTCCATATCATACCTAGTTTTAAAAGTATGAATAGTATTTGCTTCCACAACCTGTTCCCCAAGTGCATTCCATTTTTCTACTACTCTCACGCTAAAAGAAAACTTCCTAACATCTCTGTGACTCATCTGAGTTTCAAGTTTCCACCCATGTCCCCTCGTTCTGTTATTATTACGTGTGAACATTTCATCTATTTCCACTTTGTCAATTCCCCTGAGTATTTTATATGTCCCTATCATATCTCCTCTCTCCCTTCTTTTCTCTAGTGTCGTAAGGTTCAGTTCCTTCAGCCGCTCTTCATATCCCATCCCTCGTAGCTCTGGGACAAGCCTCGTCGCAAACCTCTGAACCTTCTCCAGTTTCTGTGTATGTGTGTGTGTGTGTGTGTGTGTGTGTGTGTGTGTGTGTGTGTGTGTGTGTGTGTGTGTGTGTGTGTGTGTGTGTGTGTGTACTCACCTAGTTGTGCTTGCGGGGGTTGAGCTCTGTTTTTTTTGGTTCCGTCTCTCAACTGTCAATCAACTGGTGTACAGGGTTCCTGAGCCTACTGGGCTCTATCATATCTACATTAAAACTGTGTATGGAGTCAGCCTCCACCACATCACTGCCTAATGCATTCCATCTGTTAACTACTCTGACACCGAAAAACTTCTTTCTAATGTCTCTGTTGCTCATTTGGAAACCAAGGTTTCACTTGTGTATTAGTATTTGTCTGTGTTAGTGTATGTGCTAGTGTATGTGTTAGTATGGCCGGGATAAATGGCGTGTTAATGTGTGTGTTAGGAAGAGATATATGAAGGTGATGTGGTGTTTGTGTAAGTGTGGCGGTGATTAATCTCCAACATGAGCTATATGTCAATATGAGCTGAACCATAGATACCAATGGAAGGTGTTTATTTATCGGTAGGCGTAAGGAAAGTAAGAGAAGTAAGCAAAGTAAGGAGTAAGATCTACGTATCGATAACACTTGTGGCTCACAAACGTGAATCGATGGTTTTACAAGCGGATCTGCTGAGAGCCGGAAGTCAAGCCCACAGGCCCAAGTAAGTCTACAAAGCCTACCTTGCTGCCACCACGGTGCCGCCGCAACACACACATCACCTGGACACGTACCTGCAAGAGAATACCTCATTAGCACTCAACACATGTATAGTCATTAGGTCTATATGTTGATTAATATGTATATGTGAGTACCGGGAGCTCTGCCCCATTTCTCGGAAAATATACAAAGAGAAAATATTTAGGCACTGAAATGGGATCGAACTTGCACCCCTTGGTCTTCCCACTGACTGTGATGCACTCAAAAAACATGTTAGCCAACAAGTACCGATGAGTTCAATACTTGAACTCATCGTGGTTCGATCGGTAGTGCGAGTATCTGGGAAATGCAGGGACGCGGGTTCGATGCATCACCTGGATCTTAATATTTCTTTACTGAATATGTTGTTATGATTTCATTGTTCACTAAAAGTTTACTTTAGTCCAGGATTGTGTTACGTTCGAGGCTAAAGTGCGCTTGTTGCTTGGTCAGTAAGCTATTGTGGTGGGCATAAGAACCTTCCAGATGTTAATAGGTCTTAAGCCTAAAACCAAACTTGCTGGTTGGTCATTAAGATGATTGGCTGTGGCCTTAATTGGCCTCCCAAGACTACAGACCTATTGCTCAACACTAAACCAAACGACTTTCAGAGCGCAGGCGTCAACACCCCACACAGCAAGAGCACCAATATATATATATATATATATATATATATATATATATATATATATATATATATATATATATATATATATATATATATATATATATATGTCGTACCTAATAGCCAGAACGCACTTCTCAGCCTACTATTCAGGGCCCGATTTGCCTAATAAGCCAAGTTTTCATGAATTAATGTTTTTTCGTCTACCTAACCTACCTAACCTAACCTAACCTAGCTTTTTTTGGCTACCTAACCTAACCTTACCTATAAATATAGGTTAGGTTAGGTTAGGTAGGGCTGGTTAGGTTCGGTCATATATCTACGTTAATTTTAACTCCAATAAAAGAAAATTGACCTCATACATAGAGAAAAGGGTTGCTTTATCATTTCATAAGAAAAAAATTATAGTAAATATATTAATTCAGGAAAACTTGGCTTATTAGGCAAATCGGGCCTTGAATAGTAGGCTGAGAAGTGAGTTCTGGCTACTAGGTACGACATATATATATATATATATATATATATATATATATATACACACACACATACACTTTTATCTCTAAACTTTCTCAAGTCTATTTCACGAGCTGGTGAGAAAGTTCGCAGCTCGAGAGAAAGGTCTCCTTATCTCGGCAGTTTGTCATTGAATACTAACTTGCATTTTCCTTAGAAGAGCCTATTAAACCAAGAATGTTTGGGTCGTATATTTTCCATCCAGAACACAGTAGTCTCCGGGTGTATGCTTCTGAAACATGGACTTGTATATTTATAAGTATTATTATTCACTTTCGCATCTGCGACATTTTGTGTCGAAGTCTTAATATAATTAACATGTGTAAATGTTCGTTCTGTATTTTGCCTGTGTTTTATACATTTCGACTGTATGCTTTTACACTCAAATACAGCATTATGCAGCTGTATTTCTCTCGTCATACTTCCCCTTTAATCACACTACAGTTAAACTTCATTCAATTCTGTTTACTCATTCAGTAATGATTTCAGTCCCGTTCATTTTAATTAATATTCTGAATATTTCATTCATGTACCTGATTAATATAAATACTTCATCCCGTCCAATTATACTCGAGTTCGTGTTGCATACTGTCTACCTCTTCAGTGTTGCATACTGTCTACCTCTTCAGTGTTGCATACTGTCTACCTCTCCAGTGTTGCATACCGTCTACCTCTTCAGTGTTGCATACCGTCTACCTCTTCAGTGTTGCATACCGTCTACCTCTCCAATGTTGCATAGCGTCTACCTCTCCAATGTTGCATACCGTCTACCTCTCCAATGTTGCATACCGTCTACCTCTCCAATGTTGCATACCGTCTACCTCTCCAATGTTGCATACCGTCTACCTCTCCAATGTTGCATACCGTCTACCTCTCCAATGTTGCATAGCGTCTACCTCTCCAATGTTGCATACCGTCTACCTCTCCAATGTTGCATACCGTCTACCTCTTCAGTGTTGCATATCGTCTACCTCTCCAATGTTGCATACTGTCTACCTCTCCAGTGTTACATACCGTCTACCTCTCCAGTGTTGCATACCGTCTACCTCTCCAATGTTGCATACCGTCTACCTCTCCAGTGTTGCATACCGTCTACCTCTCCAATGTTGCATACCGTCTACCTCTCCAGTGTTGCATACCGTCTACCTCTCCAATGTTGCATACCGTCTACCTCTTCAACTGTTCCCGTCCCTGCTCTATTATCCCAATTCCACTCCACACGACTGTTTAAAGAACGTGTGGATTAGGTAAATACAAATACACCTTTTACGTTCCGTTTCTGCCACATTAGAATTAGATTAGTTAGAACTGTTAGATCATTAGATTAGTTAGAACAGTAATCTAACCATTATTGTGGAGATGTTGTATGCTGCTGGATGCTTGCTATATGTTCAAGGGCTCCTAAAGGCTCCTAAAACCACTTCAGCAGCATTGGTACAGGAGAAAAGGTCATCTTGCTGGAGGCCTGGAACAGGAGGAAGGGCTCCGTCCCCACCATGCTGGAGGCCTGGAACAGGAGGAAGGGCTCCGTCCCCACCATGCTGGAGGCCTGGAACAAGAGGAAGAGCTCCGTCCCCACCATGCTGGAGGCCTGGAACAAGAGGAAGGGCTCCGTCCCCACCATGCTGGAGGCCTGGAACAGGAGGAAGGGCTCCGTCCCCACCATGCTGGAGGCCTGGAACAAGAGGAAGAGCTCCGTCCCCACCATGCTGGAGGCCTGGAACAAGAGGAAGAGCCCCGTCCCCACCATGCTGGAGGCCTGGAACAGGAGGAAGAGCTCCGTCCCCACCATGCTGGAGGCCTGGAACAGGAGGAAGAGCCCCGTCCCCACCATGCTGGAGGCCTGGAACAGGAGGAAGAGCCCAGTCCCCACCATGCTGGAGGCCTGGAACAGGAGGAAGAGCCCAGTCCCCACCCTCGTTGAAAGCCTGTCTGAAGAGAAAGGCAACACCACCTCCTCGGATGTCTTGACGCGGCCGTCCTTTTAATTGTCTCTAGTGTTCCAGAAAGCTCCTGTTTCGCCGTTATAATTTCGCCAAATGGCCAAGTCAGTCTTCTCTCATTTGTGGGGGTGAGAAGAAGAGCGCGGCTGCCGTGCGCCATCTGCCCACACTTCCTCTCTCAAAAATAATGTCCATGATGTCAGATGCTCAGGAATGTCCATTTTTCCACTTCCACCAGCTTATCTCTGTCCTAGTTCCTAGCATTTTTCCCTAGCACGGTATACAGTCCTATTTGCTCCATCGTCTGATTACTCTTTTCTCTCTTATCTCGAGGAAATTTCCTGGATAACGTTTTCCTTGACTCAAATGCGTGCTGAGCGGTAACATTTTATGCAGTATTTTAAAACTTGGAAATATTAACGTACTCCAGTTTTACTTTGGAGGAGCTTTGTTTACGGTCGTGGTTGTTATGCCTTTTGTTCAGAGTTTATTTGTACCAACGCGTTTTCAGCACGACGGAAATGCTGTTGCGGGGAATTAAAATGTTGGGAGGATATGTATTACAAAACAGAGTAGTGATGTAATAAAGTTTACCTGTCTGTGACCCATCAGCGCCCAGACAGTGATTGGGTGGTGGAGTGGTTGTTGGGGGTGGTGGACTGGTTCTTGGGGTGTTGGACTGGTTGTTGGGGTGGGGGACTGGTTGTTGGGGTGTTGGACTGGTTGTTGGGGGTGGTGGACTGGTTGTTGGGGTGGGGGACTAGTTGTTGGGGTGATGGAGGGGTTGTTGGGGTGGTGGACTGGTTGTTGGGGGTGGTGGACTGGTTGTTGGGGGTGGTGGACTGGTTGTTGGGGTGGTGGACTGGTTGTTGGGGTGGGGGACTGGGTGTTGGGGTGGTGGACTGGTTGTTGGGGTGGTGGACTGGTTGTTGGGGTGGTGGACTGGTTGTTGGGGTGGTGGACTGGTTGTTGGGGGTGGTGGACTGGTTGTTGGGGTGGGGGACTGGTTGTTGGGGGTGGTGGACTGGTTGTTGGGGTGATCTTGGATGGTTAAGCCCTGTCGAGTGTTAAATGCAGTGACTCTAAGCCCTATAATTTCTTATAATGTCTTCCCTTGCAACTATGGATGGAATTACTATTTGTTTTCATTCCACTCGCCACTTCGCCATCTGCGTGTCTATTTTCCATCTTGCTATATTGCATCTCTATGTAAACATTCCATCCTTTCCATTCATTCTTTCTCGATCCACTTTACTGATACCTCTTAGTTATTTTGTATATCTAGATCATGTTCACGCTATTTCTCCTGGCTTTATGTGATAATAGGTTCAACGCTCTTAAGTTCTTCACGCAGTTCAGTCCTCTAAGTGAAGGTTACAGGCAAGTAAGTACCTGTAGTCAGTTTCTAGAGTTTCATCTACATTCAAAGTCCGTCCGGACTTGATCGATAAGGCTGTTGCTAAAAGCGGCCGACAGGACCACATACCCACACATTCCGGCTGATCAAACTAACGCTATATACTACATGTATCCCGAAAGTAACCTTACCTAGATCTTTCTGACGTTTGTTCTGCTTATGAGAGAGAGAGAGAGAGAGAGAGAGAGAGAGAGAGAGAGGAGAGAGAGAGGGAGAGGGAGAGGGAGAGAGAGAGAGAGAGAGAGAGAGAGAGAGAGAGAGAGAGAGAGAGAGAGAGAGAAGGATGGGACGGGGAGAAAGACAGTGAACGGACAGCCTGTCACAACTAATAAACTACACATTTCATCTACATTAAAGTTGGAGCAGCGTGGTACAGCCGGGACCCGTGACCACACACACCTCTCAGGTACTGGCCAGGTAGGTACTTGTCTCTCTCTCTCTCTCTCTCTCTCTCTCTCTCTCTCTCTCTCTCTCTCTCTCTCTCTCTCTCTCTCTCTCTCTCTCTCTCTCCTTTCTTTCCTTCTGTATTATTTCCATTGCCTCTTCCTCCTTTATTGTCCTCTTATCCCCCACCTTTCTCATCATTTATTCCTCCCTTCTCCTATTCAGTTCTTCCCATCTCTATCCCTTCCCGTTCCTCAAGCGGGCGTGACACAGGACACGACCACCCTCACAGTCGAGGCCCCAGGCATTGTCTCTCTTGTCAACCCTCTGTCTACCCTCGCAGCTCCGGAATATTCCCATTCCCAGCCACCTCCGCCCAGCACGGGAATATTCCCATTCCCAGCCACCTCTGCCCAGTTCGGGGAATATTCCCATTCCCAGCCACCTCCGCCCAGCACGGGAATATTCCCATTCCCAGCCACCTCTGCCCAGTTCGGGGAATATTCCCATTCCCAGCCACCTCCGCCCAGTTCGGGGAATATTCCCATTCCCAGCCACCTCTGCCCAGTTCGGGGAATATTCCCATTCCCAGCCACCTCCGCCCAGCACGGGAATATTCCCATTCCCAGCCACCTCTGCCCAGTTCGGGGAATATTCCCATTCCCAGCCATCCCGGCGCAACTCGGCACTGGGGGCACTTGTCCAACTTGTTGATGACCCAATTTAAGTTTATGTACCTATTCTGGCTAGACAGTCAACTGTCCTGCTAGGGGACCGCCAGACTAGCCACCCAGGTAGTCAGTCAGCCGACCAGCTGAACTGTGCACCTGAGAACCTGTCTTGGTTACCCAGTTAGGCATGGATTAATTGACACTGTCTTCCACCCAGTTCCAATCTTCCACCCCACCGATTAGCCATCAAACGAGGCAGTCAGCTACAAAGCAGCTTACTTTATGTTTAATTCGACACTTTAAATAAGAGCTATCCTGCCACACGCTCGCTCAGCATACTGCTAATCAATTAGACTGTTAACTGATCTCCATTTAGCCATTCAGTCATCTTCTCGTTTCTCATATATCTCATATATTACTCACTCGTGTACTCATTCCTTTGACTCACATGACATCGGCTTAACAAGCCACATGTCCACCCGCTTATTCATTCACTCGGCAACTCATCCATTCACAAATGGTATATATAAACCACTCAACCAGGTTGAAAAGCAGAGGTGCAACAGGTACTCTGAGAGAGAACTTTATCAACATCAGAGGCCCGAGACTGTTCAACACGCTTCCACTACACATAAGGGGCATAACTGGCTGACCCCTCACAGTGTTCAAGAGAGAACTTGACAAACACCTCCAAAGAATACCTGATCAACAAGGCTGTGATTCATACGTCAGGCTGCGAGCAGCCGCGTCCAACAACCTGGTTGACCAGTCCAGCAACGAGGAGGCCTGGTCGAGGACCGGGCCGCGAGATGTTTAGCCCCGAAATCATCGCAAGGTAACCGTTCATCCACAGAACAGCTACCCACTGACTCAACTGTTCAGAGAGAGAGAGAGAGAGAGAGAGAGAGAGAGAGAGAGAGAGAGAGAGAGAGAGAGAGAGACAGAGAGAGAGAGAGAGAGAGAGAGGCAGGCACATCATAGGACTCCTGCCAACCTGTCAGTTTTAGCGGTCTTTATATAACATTTTATGAACCTCTGTGTCTCCCCCCCCCCCCCCGGACCCCAGTGCACCCTCTCGTCTACTCTTCCTACTGTCGCTGCTACAACACAGTAAATGGTAACTGCATTGGCAGGAAAGCTGACTAGTGACCTTCTGTATATTGTCGTATATGACGGAAAATCATGCTTGATATATATATATGTAGATATTAAAACACAATCATGCAATAAAATATTCACAAATGCGCAACACCCCCCCCCAACACCAACACCCACCCCCACACACACCACACCACACACACACACACACACACACACACACACACTCGGCCCTCGGGGGCCTGGGGGCCCCCGAGCCTGGTGGATAGCGCGCAGGACTCGTAATTCTGTGGCGCGGGTTCGATTCCCGCACGAGGCAGAAACAAACAAATGGCAAAGTTTCTTTCACCCTAAGTGCCCCTGTTACCTAGCAGTAAATAGGTACCTGGGAGTTAGTCAGCTGTCACGGGCTGCTTCCTGGAGTGTGTGTGTTGTGTGTGTGTGGTGTGGGGAAAAAAACAAAGTAGTTAGTAAGTTAGTAGTTAGTTAGTAAACAGTTGATTGACAGTTGAGAGGCGGGCCGAATGAGCAAAGCTCAACCCCCGCAAAAACACAACTAGTAAACACACACACACCCACACACACACACACACACACACACACACCACACACACACACACACACACACACACACACACCACACACACACACACACACACACACACACACACACAACACACACATACACACATACACACACACACACACACACACACACACACACACACACACACACACACACACCCACCCACACACACACACACACACACACACACACACACACCCACACACACACACACACACACACACACACACCACCCACACACACACACACACCCACACACACCACACCCACACACACCCTCACCCACACACATACACACACACACACACCCTCACCCACACACACACACACACACACACACACACACCACACACACACCACACACACACACACACACACACACACACACACACACACACACACACACACACGTTTAACCCTAGACAATTAGAGTGTAATAGGAGACGAGAGCAAGGGTCAGCAGTATTGTACCAGCTGAGAGGGAAACTGCTACTGCAATGTAAATATGAGAAGGGCCTGGGGGTGGACATCACACTAAACCTATCACCAGGGGCTAACTAAACGCGATACCATCAGCAGCATACGCAATGCTTACACGTACAAGAGCCCATCAGAAACCTTAACAGGGGATCACCCAAGACAGAGAACACCACATGTGTAACTAATACTGGAGTATGTAGAATAAAACTGGAGGCCATCACTATCTACTTGAGACGTGCTATATTGATAGACATCCTGTCTACTAGAGGTTACGAGGAAAGGCTGCGGGAAATACACCTCACGACACTGGAAGACAGAAGAGTAAGGGGAGACATGATCACTACCTACAAAATTCTCACGAGGAATTGACAGGGTAGATAAAGATAAACTGTTTAACACGGGTGGTACGCGAACAAGGGGACACAGGTGGAATCTGAGTACCGAAATGAGCCACAGGGACGTTAGAAAGAACTTTTTCAGTGTCAGAGTAGTTAACAGATGGAATGCATTAGGCAGTGATGTGGTGGAGGCTGACTCCATACACAGTTTCAAATGTAGATATGATAGAGCCCAGTAGGCTCAGGAACCTGTACACCAGTTGATTGACAATTTAGAGAGCCAAAGCTCAACCCCCGTAATCACAACTATGTGAGTATTATTAGGCCAACCCACCCTTTAGTGAGCTAGGTGAGCACGTAGGTACATATACACACAGTCTATTCTTGTCCACTAACAAAGGCACAAGTTGGCAACATCTTAGCAATAACCGCTGGTAATTAATACTTCCACCAGAGTGTCGCTACTCCAACACTACCATTGTGCACGTTGCATCAATACTCCTCAGAGGCCATTACCACCCACTGATTGCAAGAGTTGATTAATCAACCTGTCCTCTCAAATAATAATTGGCATTTTGATGTTAAAACCCCCAACGGACAAAATAAGATGTACTATAAATCACAGCGGCTCATAAACATTCACGTTTTCTATGCATAAGTCGCTCGATTAGGTTAGGTTAGGATAGGTTAGGTTAGGTTAGGTTAGGTTAGGTTAGGTTAGGTTAGGATAGGTTAGGTTAGGTTAGCTTAGGTTAGGTTAGGTTAGGTTAGGTTAGGTTAGGTTCGGGTGATTTAGTACACTAATTTCCGTCCGTTATGGCAACTCGAGAGGCGGTTACCTTGCAATAGTTTCAGGGCTCAACATCCTCTCGGCCCGGTCCTCGACCAGGCCTCCCGACCGGACGGGCTGGATTAATTCACCACTTAACAATGATCTGGCAAATTGATTACGGTAAATTAGCAAATTAATAGAGAAATACCCGTTCCTGGCAAGCATCATTACTGCCAAGGACGTGTCAGGTTGGCCTCATACACCATGGCAACACTTGACCGCAGGTTGGACCTTTGGCCTTGTAGGTTTGGCCCTACGCATTTGACCGGACTTATCTCTTTATGTCTGTTCTTTTCTTCACTCTGAACTTTGCTTCTTTACCTATTTAGTTTATATAGTCTCAGTGCTGTGAACAAAACGAATACACTGAGAATTGAAGTGGTGGGAGAAGACTTCATTACAGCTTCAAAGGTGAACTGAGCCTAATAAGCTGGAACTTTTAGACCAGTCGACTGAAAATTGAGAGGACGGTCCAAAGAGCCGAAGCTCAACCCCGCAAACGCAATCGAGAACAATTCAGTGAGTGCACACACACACCCACACACACACACACACAGGAATCCGTACACCAGTTGATTGACGGTTGAGAGGCGGGACCAAAGAGCCAGAGCTCAACCCCCGCAAGCACAATTAGGTGAGTACACACACACACACACACACACACACACACACACACACACACACACACACACACACGTACACACACACACACACACACACACACACACGTACACACACACACACACACACACACACACACACACACACACACACACACACACACGCGCGAGGCTTGGTAATAACGAAGCCTCAAGCTATGAAATCGAAGAATATTCTTTTATAATGAGATGCCCGCTGGTACGGCGGTGTATTCCCCCCCCCCCTTCCCCTCTGATGTCAACCCCCTTCCTCTCTGATGTCAACCCCCCCTTTCCCCTCTGATGTCTGTCACATCAGCCTATGTCTTTCACTAATGCACTGTCTTCAAAACTTCAGGGTCGCCTTATTATCTTTATTCTGATACGACCCACCATCAAGGTATATGTTGGAGTAATTTTTGTAAAAGACAATAATCCAAGAGCTGTAGACTTTTATGGTATATACTTGATTAATTTTACATATGTAACTCGTGAAGGCAGCATGACAAAATCATGACGTGGCTTCAGGCGACAAATTTCAACATTTAAATAATTATGTTGGAAATTAGGTAAATTTAACTCTTTTTTTTTCCGTATTGCAATACGGGGAGGAAAAGTGGGGGGGGGGCATTTTTACAGGCGAGTATGGAACTTTTCGAGTAGAGTTTGGAACAAAATAAGCCGAGGGTAATGACTAACTAAGACTAATAACTAATGACTAATAATGACTAACTCGGATCCATCAAACGATCATCACAAACTCTTATGAACAATGCACACACCTTTGACATGGTTCACACGACTGCTTACATTCGAATTTTGCCTTGAAGAATACTTCACTCGCGTATGTAAATAGTTAACCTTATTGTACGCCAAAAAACAGCCGCTAAGCCAAATGCATTTGAATGACAATTTTCGAGATAATTAAATATTTACAATATGTACTCTATGGCAACTATAACCTTCATACTCCAAATTTGAACGAATTTCTTCAAATCACACTCAATCCTTGTCTTCAATTTGAAGTCGATACCCGGTACCGTTCTCTAGATATTGTTGGAAACCACCTTA